TCTTCAGATGCAAGAGTCTTGCATCTGAAGAAGTGAGGTTCTTACCCACGAAAGCTTATGCTCCCAGTACTTCTGTTAGTCTCAAAGGTGCCACAGGACCCTCTGTTGCTTAGCTCAGAGATAAGTTTCTTGGAAGGTTGAGGTGGTCCAAATAGCAAGAGAAATTTGAAGCAAAGTCCTCCTTGGGCATGCCAAGGTCCAAGCAGAGGTCTCTCATTATGATGACCCTCCCTTCTTGCAGACCCAAATTTAATTATATTGCTTGCAAATTTGATGCTTTCCCTGTACTGTGAGGGCTAGCGACTAGAGAGAGGATTGCTTTAGCGCAGTCCCGTTCATTCCAACAGACTCCATGTCGTGACCCATCAGCCCTGAGGGCTCCCCTGTTTGGACTGTGTCCCACGCTGGCTAGGTTTAGTCTGTGCAGACAGTAGCTGCGTCTTGATTCTTAAGCTTTGCTGAAGCCAAGAATGTTATTCTGGCAAACGATGGGGATTTCACCAGCAGCGTGTCTCCTCTGCCAGCCAGCCCGACACAGCATCTCAACAGCACTGGAATCTGCACGTGGGCCTCAGAGCAGTGGTGAAAGGAGTTATGTCGTGATCTCTAAATACAGTCTTCTGGATCATTAAGTGTCAGCCGGCAACGCCATTTTCCTCCGTGGTGATAACGTGTGACATACTCAGCATTATGCTATAGCATGAGATAACTCGGGCTACAGAGCCTTGCACTTCACACCAGCACTTGCTCTTTGCACTGTTAATTATTCATTCATTTTGGCCTATGAAGGGCCGGTAGAACGCTGTGCAATTCCTTGCTTAAAAGGGCATGTGAATCTCCCATCTGCTGGCTATTAAATTACTTCAGGCTTAAAAAGCTATATGAATTTTAGATGACCCAGCCAGCAGACAACCATACAACTCCTCCCCCCACCCCTTGCATTAAGCAAAGTGGTTTTGCACTCAGGCAGCCTGTTCCCATTAGCAATTTTTTTCTTTTTTAATGCAAGGTGATTGCCTGGCTCAGACAGTCACATGGCAAAAAACACCCCACAGGCTGGCTTGGGCACATGTATATGAATTCTTATTTTGTTTGGTTCATCTTTGGAGCTGGCACTGTTTCTGCCCCATATTTCTCTCCTCTAGAGAATGGACTATTGTTATAGCTATTGCAGTAGCAACTATAGACGACTTTAACTCCTAGCAGAAGCTCAGTATGCTAGGCCCTGTACAAACACATACAAAGAGACAATCTCCGCCCCAAAGAGGCAAAGTGTGACGGGAAAACAGAGGCAGATGGAAATGAAGAGATGTGCCCAAGATCACACAGCAAATCAGAGCTAGACTGGGGAATAGAACCCAGGTCACCTGATTCCCAGTCCAGTGCCCTATCCATGACTACATAAGAAGAGATCATGCTGTCTTTACCTGCCTTAGTATGGGGTGACAAACTAGCTGCCTTCTCAAGGTCCCTTCAAGCTCTGCATTTCCACGACTCTGCACGAATCTATCAATCTAACGTTATGCACCCATCTTGGCCAATGGCTTTTGGTTCTTCCATCTATCACCAACGCGTACGGTCCTGCCGTCCCTGAGAACCCTCCGTTTAATTGCTTTAAAAACCACCACTGACGTTCTCTGATTTGGGGTGCCCACCTTGAGCCCAAGGTGCTCGGCCCCTCCAGAAAAATCAGGCCAAAGGTCAGCACCCAAAAATGGAGGCTTCTGAACTCAGTGGCCACTAATGACAATTCTGGCCGTTAGTCGTCATTATATATTTTAAACAAACAACAACAACAACAAAAAAATGCATTTCAAACTATTCTGCTGCATGGGATGGGGGCCCCAGAACCCATCTGTCCAGAATCGTTAGCTATCGCCAGGACATTAGACAGGAAAGAGAAGAAGGTTGGCTACATGGATAGGTGTTTTGGGGGAATCCTCTCCTTTGGCTCCTGACTAATTAGGCGATGCATGGGGAGGTCCTCGACAGCAGCCAGGCCTAGGCTCAGTGGCTGTCCCACGAGCATTGTGTATGCTGGGGTTCCCCCCATAGAGTGGCATGGGTGTAGACTAGAAATGGCTGCCTTCCCCTCCCCCTCACATCCCTCCCTCTTCTATGATAAACTGCTGGTCCTAACCTCTGAAGCCCTCCGCAATTTAGCCCCGCCTTGACTGTCTGTCCCGTTATCCTATTGACTTCTGTCATGGCTCTGCCAAGAACGTGACACTCCACTACCCACTTGTTCTCTTCTCCCACAAACACTGAACAGCCAAGTTGCTTATTTTTCCAGGCTCTTTCTCGAGCCACATGACCGGTTCCTTCAGACTGATTGTCCCCATCCTCATCAGCACCTTTTAGCACCTTCCTCCTCAGACATTCCAGGGTGCAACCCAAACCAGTGAGGGGTTGGGGCATCGCTTACCTTGCAACTTTGGGCGCCTCACAATGCTTTGCTGCTGTAGCTCCTACCTGGGCCACTCACAACCAGTCAAACAGCAACCCGGGCACACCTGGAGTGTCTGTACATAGCCACAGCCCTGGGCCAGCAACTCTGACCCAACTACCTGTCAGCAACCCCCCGTCACACTCTGCTTCCAGCAGCCTTGGTTACTACTTGCAGGGTGACCCCCAACACACGCCCAGTTCTGGATTTCCCCCCAAAAACGTGTGTTCTGCACTGTCCAGCCCTCTCCTGGACAGTTCTTTAAGGGAATCGATACACAACAGTCTGCTACTTTGAAGGGAAATTACTCACACTGTTCAGTTTAAAACAGCACTGGACTTGTTTTGATTAAAGAATAAAAAGTGTATTTAACTACAAAGAGAGAGGTGTCACGTGAGTACAAGGCTTTAAAGTCAGAAATGGTTACAAGAGAACTAAAGATAGAACGCCTCCTGAACGTCACAAACTAGACTTGGTTCAAGGAAGTCCCTTACCAGAGGGTTCCAGTAACATGGCTGACCAAACTCTTAGGCCAAGACGTGTTCCCAAAGTCCAATGGCTGCTTCTTTTGTCCTCTTAGGTGACAAAGAGAGCGATGGAGAGGGAGAGACCATGTTTTTGCCCCTTTCTTTTACAGTTCAGTCACCTTTTGAAATGCATTTCCCTGAGGGTTATCCCTAGAGAAAGGTCCTTCCAGCTATGAGGATGGAGACATGGGGTCTGGTAGCGAAAGAGGCTGTACGCTGTTTCTTCTCACCTCTGTTTGCTGAAATGCACATTTTCCTGGTCTCCCGTCTTCCCCCTTTTGCTGTCTGAGGACTCTGTTTACAACCTATATGTAACTTGAGGTAAGTAAACACACACACTTTTGTTTAACATGGGTTTGAACATATGCCACCAACATCAGTCAGGGGAATTCATAACTTTACATACAATGTTGCTGCATACCTTTCATCATGATATTACTGACCAATGAGTTATTAGTTTTCACATGATACCTTAACAAGGGACATCTTGTACAAAGATTATTACAATGGTGTGGAGGGTGTGCATACAAGGGTGCATTTGGTCACCCCTTCATACGCTATCTTGCAAGTTACTGGGCCATAATACTGCTAATTACCTCCCATTCATTCTATTTCCACTCACAGGTCTTCTGTGCCCAAGGTTGCTCCAGGTCCACCCCACACCAAACTCCCTGGCTCTTGAGATTAGGGTTTCATTCCATATTTTATCTATTGCTTCCCTAAAGTCAAGACAAAGTGCATTGATGGTTTCTTCTCAGCAGCTGTTTCAAAGAAAAAAAGTCTCCCAATGTTGGGCGTCTGCTCCTCGATCTTCTTCAGCCCAACTGTAACTTCTTAGTTCTGTCCCTATTTTGCGACTTCTGCACATTTCCAGTGGCTGACATTTCAGTGTCCAGGTCTAGACTACCCTCAGGCCCCCTCTTGCCTGGAGGAAACTCTGCATTAACATCCACAAAACTTCCTCCTTCAAACTCTCCTTTAATGTGATGCTAAAAAAAACTTGACAGTGATTAGGGTGCAGGTGGGCTGAGATCCCTGTCCATCCTGCTGAGCTACACTGTCTCATTGTTTCCTAGTTCTCTCTCACTTGTCTGTGTCCATCTGTTGTCTCTTGTCTTAGATTGTCTGGGGCAGAATAATCTTTTTTGTGCTCTGGTTGTACAGTGCTTAACAGAGTGGGGATGGTCCATGACTTCGGCTCCTAGGCACTATGATACTACAAATTAATAATAATAATACATTCTTAAGCATAAGCATTATATCAGCATCAATAGCTCTCCTCCAGAGATAGTCTAAGTACCTCTGCTAAAGAATCCAATGGTGGTTCTGTCACTTTCTTTATCATTTCTCATCATTCCCTACTCTGGGATGAGTCGTTTCCACTGGTATTTCTTCTTCCTGCCCTCAGGACGGAGCTATGTATGTGCTGTCAGTTTGTGGCGAACATTCCTCATTGTCCTGTAAAGCGAAGATTATTTTTTTAAAGCACTGTCTGCCTTCCCATGACCCTTCACTGACCCCTTCTGCTTTTGTACTTACAAGGTCATTTATATTACATGCTTTTGCAATCATCCTTTTATTCTCCATTTTTGAACTTTTTTTTTTTTTTAAATTCATGTTCCTAACTTGGGCCCTGATCCAGCAAACCACAAGAACATTGGAACGACCAGACTGGAGCCATCTAAGCCAGCATCCCGTTTCTGACAATGGCCAGTCGCAGATGCTTGTCAAGAAGGTGGAGAAACCACCCATGAGCAAATGTGGGGTTATCTGGCCTGCATACAGGTCTTATCCTGACCTCTGATGGAGATTGGTTTGCGCTCAGCTGCCCAAGGTATAGAATCTTAGGGCTTGTCTTCACGTACAGCGCTGTATGGGTGAAGCTGCCCGGCTGTAGCACTTTTGAAGACATTACTACTCCGACGGGAGAGCTTCTCCTGTCGGCGCAGTTAATCCAACTCCCCCAGAGATGGTAGCTATGGCAATGGGAGAAGCTCTCCCACCGAGATAGTGCTATCTACGTGGCAAGGGGTTAGTTCAGTAAAACTATGTCACTCATGGGTGTGGATTTTTCACACCCGAGTGACGTTGTTATATTGATATAAGTCTGTAGTGTAGACCAGACCACAGAAACATAGGGCTGGAAAGGACCTCAAGAGGTCTTCTAGCCCAGAAAAACTACAACCTCCAACGATGGAGGTTCCATAAAATCTTCCTTCCAGTAGTTTTGTTAGCATTAACTCTAGGCATTCTTGTCATTCATACAAATATCCACTGCCTTGAAAATTTTGTTATGATTCTTAAACACTTACGTTACTTTAAGCATGTGCTTAACTTCCTTCCTGTGGTTGCTTTCCTGGACAGGTCTCGGAGCGATTAGCCAGGCTTTTCCAATGCAATGCAACCAAGTCATTTGGCAGTCTGCCGGTGTTTTCTGGAGTACAAGTGCAGCCTTGCTGGATACGTACAACTCTTATGGTTTGCTCTCCTTTATGAGAAAGGAGACGACACCTCCAGTGGTGCAGCCCCCACAGGTCAGCCAAACTGAGCTGGGTTTCTGACTTATCTGGGGCAGATGCTGCCTGTTTCAATCACAGAAAAATGGAACTGAAGGAGGCAGAGAAATAGCGAAAGCGAAAATGTCAAATGGGCCGTAAGTGCAGAGAAGTCTGTGGTTGTTCTCTGAAACATACCATATGGTATGGAACCCTGGCTTGCTCAGAGCGGCACTCCATCCCCCTCTAGTGGTGGCTAGGCCTGCGAGAGATTGATGGCCCTGCTCCTGCCACAATTACGTGACATGTGTCTTGTAGCTCATGCAGTAGAGGCTCCTGCACTGAGTTTCAGAGGCCCCAGGTTCGAACCCTGCTGTGCCGGCAAGCAGGGACTTGCTCTGGAAGTCTCTGAAACTTGGGGAGGTTTGTCTACACCCAGCGAGAGGCTGAAACCTCCTGCTTCGTGTGGTGCATCTCCCCCTCTAGTGGCTAGGCCGGCTAGCTAGAGAGTGATGAGTCGGCTACAGCCTGAGCTAAGTGACATGTGTCTCCTTTTAGCTTGTGCATTGAGGTCCCAGGTTTGATCCCCACTGCTATCACCCCATGTGAGTCAACATTACACCTAGACCAGCTGGTGCCACTCACTATGGTGCAGAGACCCCAGTGATTAAAGGTGCACAGGTCTTTTCTGTTATACACGGTTTATCTGGTAGCTGCATTCCCCCGGGGAAATATTTGTACTTGCCCCCTTGAAACTAAAAATCAAACTTGCCTCACGGCTCAATAAGCCTACGTCTCCACTCCGAATTGGCAGGGTGATTCTCTCTCTCTCTCTCTCACACACACACACACACACACACTTTCATGGAGCGAGCGTGAGCACAAATGGCAGAGTAGCTGTTGTAGCACAGGGAATGGCAGTGGTGGCACAGAGTTAGTCAGTCAGTCAGGAGAGAAGGTGCCCTCACAATATATTTTTTACAGCTTGGTGATAGGATCAGGGAGATCCCAGAGTGCTGTACACAAATCAGTTGGGGATTAGTTAGCGACAGGAAAAGTAATTAAATTTTTCCTTTTAAAATAAGACCTCAAAAAGCTTAGCTCCTGAAGGTTCTCTATAGTACCAAAGAGAGATGCTCAGCAGTTCCCTGTGAAAGTCCTGCTGACTAATAAGACATGGCACAGTTGTCCTTTATTAATATCTGCATCTAAGAAAGGTCAGATGTTGGTATCTAGCAGAAAATCCCTTTCCCCTCTTCATCATTCCATATTTCAATTTTAAAAATCCATCGCCTGTAAGGACCTTGCATTGTCTAATCTAACCTCCTGCATAATTCAGGCTGGAGAAGTCTGCCTGAATCTGGCCCCAAAAGTAACGCTGAACTACAGCATGTCTTTTACAAAGCTTGATTTAAAGATTGCCTCTGATGGATGACCTACCACCTCCCTTGGTAATCTGTGCCAATGGCTAATTCCTATCACTGTTAAAAAATTGGCCCGTATTTCTAATTTGTCTAGCATCAACTGCCAATCACTGGGTCGTCTTCTGCTTTTGTCTTCCAGATTTAAACAGCCATGTAACACCAGACATCTTCTCTCAGGGTACTGGTAAAAGAAGGCGCCATCCTACAGCAAGGTGAAGCAAAGGAGCTCTCTGGAGTTCCTGACCATGGGCATGTGAGAGAATTGTGCCGTCTTCAGAAAGTAGAGTGAACTTCTAGGGGGCTCCTCACTGCCATCCCCAGAGGGTTTTGGAAAGTGGACCAGGCTCTCCTTTCCAAGAATAATCACCTCTCTCATCGGTGGGCATGGTGGTATCTATCTGCTAATGCACATCCTGTCTGCATATTGAGCAGGAAGCAAAGCTCCATCAGGACCACACACTGATCACTTGATTTATTCCTCTCACTTCCCGCCCCCATATGTGGCCAGACAGCAGAACCTCCAGATTAATCGTGGAGTGGCCTTTTCATAGAGCTTCCTGTCTGCTCGCTCCTCACAATGCCCCTACTGTCTGGCTTGATTGCATCGTACACGCTTACTGGAATCATCTTTCCATTCTGAGCCAGGCTTTTCCCCCAGCTGGTGTAGCCATCAGATCTCTCTGATGTTTGTTTTGTGATCCCAGTTTGGATCCCAAAGTTGTGCAAAAAAGGAACAGCTGCAGCTTGTGTTATTTTGGCCAATAGAGTTTATTCAATGACACGTCTGCAATCCCAGTTTTAGATTTAAACAAAAAAAAAAAAGATTGCAATGGGGAGGTAATTATTAGCTTAATTGGCTTCTTTGATAGCTTCATTGAGATAGCTTCTTTAGTACATTTAATGACAAGGAAATTCAGTTAGTAAATGGACAACATTAGACACTGGGTGTCTATCTAGAGTCAAAACTAGTAAATTAGAAACACTACTTTCATTTGAAATGAGGCAGTGTCGTGTAGTGGGTAGAGCACAGGATTAGGGGTCAGGAGATCCAGCTCTGCCACTAAGCTGCTGTGTAACCTGGGACACGTCACTTCCTGTCTTTGTTTCTCCTCCCACCTTATTGAAGTTCCTTCGGGCCGGAACTGGTTTTATTGCACCTAGCACAGTGCGGCATGGATCTCAGATAGAGCCTTCAGGCACCACCATAATGATAATAAAGCTGGATAATTTCTATTATTGCTTTTCCTTTGCATTTATACAACCGCCAAGTTTTGCAAATTCACACACTAGCTCATTTCAGATGAAGATAGTGGAACTGTGCAGGCAGAGATGGACTTTTTCCAGCAGCTTTGAATAAATTCTTTGAGTGTTTTGTGCCGTACCAATGACCACCATATTTGAACATCACCCTGTATTTGGGTTTTCCCCCCCACTTACTTTTGTGCCAATATGAACTACAAATGAAGATTGCATGTCCAAATGGTTGACTGCTTTGCGTTGAGAAAGAAGTGGGAGATTTCCTTTTAATGTAGACATGAATTTGTTAATCACATGAAGGCTAACATGGAAAAACCAGGTGTTATTAAACAGTAGTCGGTGCAAGTGAAGATGTGTTTGCTAGACCTATCAAGACTAATTATGTAGTTGCATTCAATGGAGCGAGTGCCTGTCAGCACAACAAAGCCACAGCTTACATATATCATACACAGTCCTACAGATCAGTTACTTGGAGAAGACTGTGTAGGACCAACCAACTATCAAACATACTGAAGAGTCCAGTTTTCCACTGTCCAGTGAGAGAATCCAATATTTCTGATACCCATTTTCCTGAGGGAGGTCTCATTTCACAGGTTTTGATTTTGTTGATTTGCTGTTGCCAGAGGGAACCTCTATTGACTTAGAAGTATTTTTCCTTTGCAGACCAACAAAAAAAGAAACCTACCACATGCCACAGTGCGTGGTTCTGCAAATACAATTGCATCAAGAAACCATTGGAAAGACCACATGCTTTGGGAACCATCAAATGGGTTCCACTTTAACAAATACTTTGCTGTATTAAGGAAATTAGTTTTGAGAATGGACTTCATAACTATGATGCATTCTTCCTTGGACCAAATGGCATGCAGAGGAGAGGATAGTGCAATATTACTAGGTACTCAAGATCTTTTATTATAAATCTATAGCAATCCAGCTAGTCTCTGAATACATTAATTTTGTAAATGTCCTATAATAATAATTGTGAAAGCCTCTTATAATTTTGTAAACTATAAGTTTTGTCCTAATCAGGAAGTATTATTTTCCCTTCCATTGCACTGATCTTTACTCATCATACTAATAACATTGTATTTAAATTTCATTATGCCACCAATTGAAAGGATAAAATGTAATGTTTACCCCATAACGTTTTAAGTCTGGCTTGTAAGTAGATCATTTTTTCCCTCGCACAAATATAATTAGCATTGAACTTGGTGCACTTATGCCAGGGAGATTGTCATATTGAAAAGTCCTTGCAAAAAATAATTATATCAGGAGGTTACAATCGTAGCATGTAAAAAAATTACAGTGAGTTGTTTTGCAGAGAGTTGAGGTCACTTTTTTTTTAAAAAATGTAAGCCTGTATTGTATTGGTCTGGCAGAAACAAAGAGTAACTGAATCCTTTCATCAAAACATTTTCTTTACAGCGTGGAAATATCAGACATCCATTGATGGGCTGGGATGGAGGTGAAATACCACAGGCTGTCAACACAAGATAACTGGTTTTGAATGCCAGGTGGCGTAAGGAATCTGGCAGCAAGTCACAGGCACAGTTGTGGCAGTCTAGGTGGCCGGTAATGAATGACCTGACGAGGTTGTTCTTCTCGCTCTCATTCCATTTTGGAAAGGGCTGCACCGTCTCAACGGCTTGCAGCCTGACATCTTCCGTTCCAAGATGCATGCCACCATGTGTATCTGCAATGGCAGGTCATTGGAAGCTTGGCAGCAAATGACACAAAACCATCTGGGCCACCTTTGTTGTTATGGCAAGTGTTATTTCCATTGCAGTAGCACCTAACACTTTAGTTAGGGGTCAGGCCCCGCCCCCTTCTACTAAGCACTGCACGACAAAACAGTCTTGTCCGGAGAGCTTGCAATGAAGGATTTAACCAGAGCATAACAGCTGGCAGGGGGATGGGTGGGAAGGATACAGTTCTAGCCAAGGCAGATGCACATGCATAAATTAATTTTAACAGGGGTCTTAGGAGTCACAGCTGTGTGTGAAGCGTGTGGTGGAATGCTTTTATGCAGCTGAGCTGGAAACACATAGGCCCTTGTAGGAGGGGCAACCGGGACAGGTAAGTGACATGAGAATTTGAGCTGGGTGGGTGAGGAATCAGAAGACAAATGATGAGGCGTAAAGCCCTTGGCCTTTCCCCAAGGACTGGCCAGGGGCTCTTGACAGCAACATAACACGGGAGAAGGATGACAGACCTGAATCAGCTGTAGCAGGCTGTCCAGCATGCCCAGATTGGTGTGTTTCCCATAGACACACTAAAATGCTAATATTTAATGTATTAGCTGGTGCATTGTAGGGCATTGCTTTGCTACGCTTGCAGCCCGAGCTGGCTGTTAAAAGGCTTCCTCATTCCTCCAGGCCCCATTCGTGCATTCAGGGTTTAACCGGAGGAAGCTCAACAGCCTACAAGCCTTACAAGGAAGCGGTATTCTGCACAGTACCTCCAGTTACACGCTTGCCAAGAGCGAGAGCGCCCCTCACACTCAGGGAAAGCAAACGCCGACAAGCGTATGGACAGGAACAGGCCTCCTTACGCAATGACTTTGGCTTTCCCCCTCTCCAGATTAGTTACTATTTCACACGCAGTCGCAGATGCAGCCCAGATCCAGGTGCCGTACGGACGCAGCAACAGTCCCTGCCCCAGGGAGCTCACGGTCTAAAAAGGCAGAGAGCGGGATCAGGGTTAGGACTAACATACCACATTCACGCTCTTAAGTCCCCTCCTCTACCTGGCCTTACTGCACATGGTATTTAATCCAGCATCTACCAGAGCAAGATCTATCGGATCACGCATGCCACTAATTGCTCGTGGTATTGCCACCCCCTTTTGAAGGGGTTTGAACACGCGTAGATTCGATGCACGACGGGTGGTGCTGGTGGAAAAAAATCAAAAAGCTTAGCACCGCTTGGGGCTTAGCTCATAGGTCTGGTGCTTCCATGATGCTCATCCTGTGATCCGTCACTGGGGAGGCAATGCAAGATGGAGATCTTGTAACTGCCCTGATCCTCCTCTTGGGCAGGAGAATTGACTAGCAGGCCACGTTCCTGGCGAGTCACTCAGGTGATCAAACTACGGGAGAAGACCCTGGAGCTTTCCCTTTTAGAGAGAGAGGCTGGCCTGGGGTGGGGAATTGCTTTACTTACCCCTGAGGAGCACTCCGTCTGAAGCGCTCTAAAGTCAGAGAACTGGCCTGAATTTGCAGAGGCATCCCTGGCAAAGTCTGTGCTGGGGGGTGGTGTGGATATGGAACCTCCATCCCGACTCAAGAGCCCCTTCTTCTGGCAGAGAACAACTGCAGCAGAGCTCCCTTTTGGCACCTCCGGAGAGGGGCATCTCTTAGGGTACGTCTATACTTACCTCCAGGTTCGGCGGTAAGCAATCGATCTTCTGGGATCGATTTATCGCGTCTTGTCTAGACACGATAAATCGATCCCGGAAGTGCTCGCCGTCGACACCGGTACTCCTGCTCCGCGAGAGGAGTACGCGGAGTCGACGGGGGAGCCTGCCTGCCGCATGTGGACCCGCGGTAAGTACCTTGTAGTTCGAACTAAGATACTTCGACTTCAGCTACGTTATTCACGTAGCTGAAGTTGCGTACCTTAGTTCGAACTGGGGGGTTAGTGTGGACCAGCCCTTAGCCTCTGGCTTGCTCACCACAGTGGGGGAAGAGGAAGAAGCAAGAAGGAGCTTGGGTGGACCATGGGAGAAGTTGTACTCCCAGCAGCCCGCAAATACGTTTGCCAAGCTAAGATGCTAATAGACATGGGGGCAGCTGTTTGCCCTGCCTCAGGCTGAGGGTCTCTGGAATAAGGCGGAAGGGAGAACCCGGTAGCAGGCTCTTCACCAGTAAAAGGTGCTTGTGTGTGCCTGTGGGCGGCAGGCAGGGTGTTGTGTACACAGGTAGGGAATCTCTCCATCCCTTTTCCACAGAGAGCAGGAGTCAGAATTTCTCCAGATCTTGGTGCCTGGAGGTCTAAGCCAGCGTGACAAACTTTGCACCACCAAGGACCGTGCTAGCAGCTTGCCAGGAGCCAGGGGGCTGCACACCGTTGTTACAGGTATTTACATATCTGCACATGAGCGATGAGGTGTTTAAGCTCATTTCACTTGCAGTCACCACAGGGTAGCTGGGTCTTACTTTTACCTGTTCTCCTCTTTCATTCTCACTTTATTTTCTTCACTCCTTGACCATTGTTTTAATTCACCCTTGTATTAAATTCTTTCCTTTGCCCCTTCCCCCTCCTGAACTGTGCCTTTTATTCTTTAGCCTTATTGCCTCCTGCCTCAGCTGTTCCTCCACCCTGCTCTGTATCCTTGACTTTCTCTAGCCCTCGTCTTCATAGGATCATAGAAATGTAGGACTAGATTGGACCTTGAGAGGTCATCAAATCCCCCTCCCCCGCCATGCTGAAGCAGGACCAAGTAAACCTAGACCATTCCTGACAGGTGTTCGTCTAACTTGTTTTTAAAAGCTTCCTGTGATGGCAACTCCACAAACTCCCTTAGAAGCCTATTTTAGTGCTTAACTACCCTGACAGTTGGAAAGTTTTTCCTAATATCTAACCAAGATCTCCCTTGCTGCAGATTAAGGCCGGGACTTCTTGTCCTACCACCAGTGGACATGGAGAATAACTGATCACCCTTCTCTTTATAACAGTCCTTGACATGTTTGAAGATTATCAGGTCCCCCCCTCAGGCTTCTTTTCTCAAGACTAAACATGCCCAGTTTTCCCACCCTTTCCTCACAGGTCAGGTTTTCTAAACCTTTTGCCATTTTTGTTGCTCTTCTTTGGACTCTCTAATTTGTTCACATCTTTCCTAAATTGCGGTGCCCAGATCTGGACACACTCCTCCAGCGGAGCCTCACCAGTGCTGAGTAGAGCGGAAGAGCCATCTCCTGGGCCTTACATAGGACACTCCTGTTAAACACCCCAGAATGGTATTAGCCTTTTTTGCAGCTGCATCACATTGTTCACTTATTCAATTTGTGATCCGCGATCACCCCCAGATTCTTCATCTCTGTCATCCAGGCAGAGCTCCTCCTCTCCTGTTGCCTGTGCTCATGGAGAGGTCACTACTGCACAAGATTTCCAGCCCAGCCTCTTTACCCTTTGCCAGGAGACTGCCACACATGGGCCTGGGAGGAGAGTCCAGCAGCAGCCACCAGAGCTGGGAGTTTAGTGCAGACGGTTTGATATTTGCTGGAGTGGGGAGCTCTGGGCTTCTGTGAACAGTGTTGTGAGCATCTGGTGGCTGCAAACATGCCAGCAGCCAGGAACGAATAAGCACTCCTTATTGAGACCGCCAAGCACGTCACAAACAATAATTAACACTCACAACACACACAGGAGGCGGGTAAGTGGTTTACAAGGATCAATGACTGCGAAATGCAGCAGTTCCTTCGCCGCATATGGCAATGCTACATATCAGCGTATGATCAGAAAAGAACACTGTAGCCCACCGGAAATGCAGGGGGCATTTAGGGAGGCGGGACAGTGGGGGTTAACACACCCAACCACCTGGCTAATGGTGCAGGATACGGAGGGAATGTCCTCTCTGCAGAGTTAACTCGAGTTACCTAGCCTGGAGTCACTCCTCTCAAGTTAGCCTAGCTTGAGAGAGTGGCTACAGTGGGAAGGAACACTAGAGCCGCTGCATCCACACTGGTGCTGTACTCATTCATCTGTGGTGCTAAGACTTCTGGGGGCATATCCACGGTTCTTCGTGCTGCAGGAAGCAGAATCCCTCTGAATTGTTGGCTGGTAAGTTGTAGGAGAACTTGTCTGTGCTTGTCGCATGGGAAACTGCAGGAAGGCACTGCAGGGCCAGTGGCATTTGAGTGGAGCTAGCCTGCATCCACACTGCAGAGAGGTTGTATTAGCACAGCTCACCAGCTGCTGACTCGGGCTTCAGGCTACACCCCATGACAGGCCAGCCAACTCAAGCACCACTGCACCTTGAGTTAAGGGTGTGTGTGTGGGGATGGGACTGGAGTTAGGGACAATACTCGAGTTAACTTTGAAGTGGAGACAAGTCCTTAGTGACCATAGCCAAGACACCCATTTCACATTTAGTCTGAAAGACACCACCACTGTCTAGCAGCAAAAAGTCCCCCCGCAGTACCACGCGACAATATCTGTTCAGTACTGGCATGGAGGAGAAAAGAGCTACCTACCTAATCACCAGTACTAGTTTCTAGAGCACCTGGGCTTGCCCTGAAGGTGATCCATCCAAGTACTGACCCACCCAGACAACACCTGGCTTGTGAGCTAGGATGGGATCACAGCAAAAGGTGTGATTTCTTATGCAACTGGACAAGTTATTAGCAACAGGGACAACCTGTGAAATCCTATAGAACGTTCCGGTAAATCTATTTCGTAGGGTATGAAATTAAGATTACTCTACACAAGGCACAAGAACCAGAAGTGGAACTGAACATTAAATAAAAGGTTTGACTTTTATTTAAAATAAAATGCATTTGTACATAGTCTTTAACCCACAGACTATCGGAACACAATACTGGTTATTCCTTGGCATTGGGCGGGGCCTGAGCTCCCTTAATAGTGTTAATTCTGCACCGGTGCAACGTATGGGGACACCCAGACTCCAGCCATTAGAGTTATTAAGGACAATGTGGCACAACTATAATAAAGTCATACTTAACTTAGATAAAAATGTATTGTACGGCAATTTTTTTTTCTAAATTGCTATCCATATCTTTTAAAAGCACTATATAGTTAATGCTGACACACTAGATCTATGCAAAATTCTAGCTGGCTTGTGAGTCTAGTTAAAAAAACTGTACAATTTTATAAAATTTGTGTTTTTACATAAGTTACACAAAACCTATACTTCATAGACCTTTACTTCATATTGTAATGAAAAAATTTGCATATCATAGGCAGACAGTGAGTATGCTGGTGAGTACTAAGAGTGTTGTAATACAATACAGTGTAAAAGTAAAAAAAAAAAAAAGAAAGGACAATATAAACGATTACCCAAAGGAAAAAGTTAACACATAAACCAAACTATAACAGACTAACAGAGGACTGTTCTTCAAGTCCCCACACAACTATCTTCAAAATAATGTCAGGCAACTGTCCTGATTCATGTAGTGTGAAAATAGAGATCAACATTCTACTCAAAGGGCGGAGGACTTCAAAAACAGGAGGTCAAATTTACAGTATTAAAAAAAACACTAAAGAAAAAACATGCATTAAACATGATAAATAGACTTCATATAGTTTAAGCCCTGGATAGCTTTATAGTAGATGGCTTAGAGTTCTCTTTATAATTTAGCTATCAGTCAAATCTGTTCGTGATCTGCCCATTGTGTCTAAAGACCAGAGGCAGAATTTGCTACATTATGTAGCCTCTAAACTGTCTCTTCATAGCAGATTAATGGAAGTGCTCGTTAGTGCACATACATTAACTGGCTGGTAATGCAAAATGTCCATGATTAAAAAAAAAAAAGATACATTTCAAGCTTACTTTATTAAGCAGCATATTTCAAATAACAGCTTTTAAAGTTAAATATTAATATGGCCACGGGGTTTCTCTCAGTATACAGTACATCAAACTCACACCCAACCGCTGGTAAGTTTGTAGAACATCTCTTCGTCTAAACTTTCATTCTGGTCCTTTGCTCGCGTTGACAAGAAGATGTAGCCACCAATGAATTCATGAACCACTTTGCAATCCACCTCAGTGCAAATGAAGGACACCCGTACATCATCTGCAAACTCTACGGTAACCTACAGCGCAAAACACACTGGATTAGGATCAACAAGATGGTCGTGTTAAATTAGACCAACTTCAGGAGTTCCCCCTCTCCACATTTCTATGCTTCTCCATTAGCCCAGATGTATTCTGTATTGTCTAAGCAAACAGTTATGTAGCTTAAGATGAAGCAAATATTTTTCTTGTACAAACATTTTAAAACTCCTTTGCCCGGAGGGAATAAGTCTCCCTTGTAGCAAACAACTGTTTAAAGTTTCATGCTTGACATTCTGTGTCTATTTTCTGAAGAGAAAAAATGATTGGATGGAGAACTATTAGGGGGAAGGATTTGCCCCCCAAATTACTAGTTTCCCCCAAGAAGCCTATTGTGGTTTTATTAACAAAGTCTCTCATTTGAAGTCTTCAGAAAAATCTCCTTCCAGTGATGCACTGTTTATTAACTCTTGAGGCCAGTAGGGTTGCTAGCCCACACCAGTCAGACTCTGGGATAAGTGAAGCCAACAAGTTCCTTGCAGAGCATCTGGTCTGAACCACCGGAGATACAGTAACTCCTCACTTAACGTTGTAGTTATGTTCCTGAAAAATGCAACTTTAAGTGAAAAGCAACAGAGGGTCCTGTGGCACCTTTAAGACTAACAGAAGTATTGGGAGCATAAGCTTTCGTGGGTAAGAATCTCACTTCTTCAGATGC